AACTGCAACCGAGGTACATGCCCTTAGCGGGAACCGAACCTGGGTCTCTCTGGACCGCAGGCCAACGCTCTAACCGCTGAACCAAACCGGCCAGGGCCAGAAATCATTCTTTCTTATTTTCACAACCTAATCACCAAAGCTAGTTGGTTGTATCTCCTAAAGTCTATAGAATCTATCTACTTTGCATTTCATTTTTTAAAAAATTTTTTTCATTTTATTTTTATTTTTTTATCCTCACCCAAGGACATTTTTGTATTTATGTTTAGATAGAGTGGGAGGGAGAGAGGGGGAAGAGAGAGAGAGAACTATTGATGAGAGAGAGAGAAACGGGCTGATGCTTTAACTGCTGAGCCAAACCAGCCAGGGCTTCTTTATTGATTTTAGAGAGAGGAAGGGAGAGGGAGAAAGAGATAGAAACATCTATGATAGAGAACATCGATTGGCCACCTCCTGCATGCCCCCCACTGGGGATTGGGCCCACAACCTGGGCATGTGCCCTGACTAGGAATCGAACTGGCGACCTCTTGGTGCACAAGTCAATACTCAACTAGTGAGCCACACCAGCCAGGCACCTGCATTTCTTTACCATCCTAGTCCAAGTCACTGTAATCTCTTATTTGGCCTCCTGCAACAGTCTCCTAACTTAATCCCCATCCACTCTTGCCTCAAAGTCCAAAGCACCTTCATGTTGTACAAGCAGCAAGGAGACATGCACCACTAGTGATATACTGTTTAACTATAGAATAGGTTTACTGAGAAAAATTTAGAAGCTGAGAGAAACAGCACAATGCACACATTCTCTGAGCTATCATTATCTCACAGAAAGGCACAGTTAGTCCAGAAGATTCCTGGTCAGGGATATGGCCTTGATAGAAAAGGCAACATCTAGAGTTCAGTTTTGGGAGGTGGTCTAACCACCACCAATGACAGGCAGAGACCCTGTTTTCCCATTGAACTATCTGTTCCTGATGAGCCCAAAACAGAGAACAAAAAGAACCATTAGGCAATCAGGAGACCAAGGTCTGTTATTCTTGTTAAAATGCAGCCACTGTGGAAACAGTATGGAGTTTCCTCAAAAAATTAAAAATGAAACTGCCATTAGACCCAGTGATCCCACTTCTGGGAATATAGCCCAAGAAACCCAAAACACCAATCAGAAAGAATATATGCACCCTATGTTCATAGCAGCCTTATTTACAATAGCCAAGATCTGAAAACAGCCCAAGTGCCATGAGTAGATGAGTGGATAAAAAAGATGCAATACAGCCCTGGCCAGTTTGGCTCAGGAGTTAGTGCGTTGGCCTGCGGTCCGGAGAGACCCGGGTTCAGTTCCCGCTAAGGGCATGTACCTCGGTTGCAGTTTGTCCCCGGCCCTGGTTGGTTGTGTGGGTGGCAGCCACTCGATGTGTCCCTTTCACGTCGATGTTTCTCTCTCTACCTTCCTCTCACTCTACCTGAACAAAAAAGTGGAAAAATGTCCTCAGGTGAGGAAAAAAAATAAAAACCAATACAGAAAAAGAAAGAAAAAAAAAGATGCAATACATTCACACAATGGAATACCACATGGCTATAAAATAAAAGTATCTCTTACCCTTTGGTGATTATTATGCTAAGTGAAATAAACCAGTCAGAGAAAGACAAATATCACATGATCTCACTTATATGTGGAGCTAATGAACAAAATAAACTGACAAGCAAAATAAGACCATAGACATGGATACGTGAAACAGACAGACAGATCTCAGAGGGGAGGGGGATGGGAGAGTCTAGAAGAAAAGAACCTAAGAACATATATGCATATATGCATACCCCAAGGACACAGACAATATTGCAGTGAAGGTGGGGTGGAGGGGGGCAAAGGGGGGAGGAATGGGGGACATCTGTAATAGTGTCAACAATTAAAAATAAATAAAATAAGCCCTGGCTGGTTTGGCTTAGTGGTTGGAGTGTCAGCCCATGGATCAAAGAGGGGCTGTTTCAATTCTGGTCAAGGGCACATACCTCAGTTATAGTTTGGTCCCTGAACCTGGTCAGGGTCATGTGGGAGGCAACCAAGCAGTGTGTCTCTCTCACATCAATATCTCTGTCTCTCCCCCCCTCCATTCTTCCCTCCCACTCTGTCCGAAAATAAATGAAAAAATATCCTTGGGTGAGGATTTAAAAATGAATGAATGAATGAATGAATAAATAAATAAAATATTTACTGTAAAAACAAACAAAAAAAGACTCGATAAGATCGGGTGTCTGCCTTATTTCATGCCTCTTATTTTCTATGCTTCAGCCACACAGGCCTTCTTTCAATTCCTTAAGGAGTTAAGTTCTTTCCCTCCTCAGGGCTGCTACTTAGTTACATGTTGCTTAGTTAACTTTCTTTTTTTCCTTTTCCTAAATGATTAAATTCCTAGAAGATTTTTTTTTCAGGTCTCAGTTTTTTTGTTTTTGTTTTAAATTTTTATTTATTGATTTTAGAGAGAGAGAGAGAGAAAGAGAGAAATATTGATTTGTTATTCCACTTATTTATGCATTAATTGGTTGCTTCTTATATGTGCCCTGACCGGGGAGCAAACCCAAAATCTTGGGGTATAGGGATGATGCTCTAACCAAGTAAGCTACCTGGCCCAGAGGTCTCATTTTTAATTTCTTTTTAGCTAAAACCTCTTTTATTTTTATTTAATATTTAAAATATGTTTTTATTGTTTTTTTGTTTTGTTTTGTTTTTTAGAGAGAGAGAGGAAAAGAAAGGGAGAGAAAGAAATAGAAACAAATCCAAACTATGGCTAAGATAAGGGAAACAATATCTAAACTCTCTATAATAGCACATCGATAAAAACAACCAAAGTTCAAGTTTCAGTTTAAATGTTACTTCTCAGGAAAGTCTCCTGACATCCTCAACCAGGTTAAAAGTCCTAATAAAAGCACTCAGCATGTTGTATATACCCTTTACAGAGTGTATCTCAATGGAAATAATAACTATTTGTGCAATTATGTAACATCTGTCCCCTGACAAAGTAGGAAGTCTTTATTTATTTTATTTTATTTTTTTAATTTTTTTTTTTTAATCCTCACCCGAGGACATTTTTCCACATTTTATTCAGATAGAGTAGGAGAGAAAGAGAGAGCCAGAGAAGCATCGACGTGAAAGAGACACATCGAGTGGTTGCCACCCACACGACCCAACCAGGGCCGGGGACAAACTGCAACCGAGGTACGTGCCCTTAGTGGGAACCGAACCCGGGTCTCTCTGGACCGCAGGCCAACGCTCTAACTGCTGAGCCAAACCGGCCAGGGCAGGAAGTCTTTAAATGGCAGCTACCAGAGCTGCCTTGCTCAGGCTGCAGCCCCAGTACTTAGCTGAGAGCTCAGACAAAATCATGCTCAATACTTATTTGTTCAGCAAATTAAGTGTAGACCTGAAGAGATCAGGTAAAGCAAGATGAGTTAGCAATATTTACTATGTAGTAGTAATTCTTATTTTGATGTTTTCTGGCCTTAGATTTCTGAGGAGTATGGATGACTCTGGACCCACACCTAGCACACATCTAGCTTAAATGTGGGAGCAATACAAATGAACATTTCTATAACTAATACAGGAGTATGAGAGCTAGGTCTTTAGAGTATTTTTATATAAACAAACAAATCATTATTTTACACTGCTTTGTGCAATTCATTGATTAAAATGTTGAAGTAAATAGGAAGACCTGATTCCTAACCAGTGTGGCTCAGTTGGTTGGAGCATCATCCCATACACGGAAAGATCACGGGTTTGATTCCCAGTCAGGGCACATTACCTAGCTTTCGGGTTCAATCCTTGGTACAGGTGACTATGGAGGCAACCAACTGATGTTTCACTCACTCTCTTTCCTTTCCTCTCTCTCTAAAGTCAATGGAAACATATCCTTGGGTGAGGATTAAAACAAAAATAAAAAAAAAAGAAAAATAAGATACATTTACAAAGAAAACTGGTAACTAGGTACCTATCAATAAGGGCAAAGTAAGGATGATATAGCCAAGAACAACTAGAGAAGGATAGGCAGAGTAGTGATCTTCAGCTTTACCCTTATCTTCACATTAAAACCACCTGGGCCACCCTGGCCTGTGTTGCTCAATGGTTAGAGTGTCAGCTTGTGGTCCAGAGAGATCTAGGTTCAGTTCCCGCTAAGGGCATGTTCCTTAGTGGGAACCGAACCCGGGTCTCTCTGGACCACAGGTCGATGCTCTAACCGCTGAGCCAAACTGGCCAGGGCTGGTTTAATAAGTTTTAACGTGTGTGAAAAAGGAGTTGAGACTTAAATAAAAACACAATATGAATCTCAAGTAATACTTAAATGGCTAATTCATTCCATCCTAAGGAAGTATTTAATAATTACCTTCATGCCTTGGCCGGTTTGGCTCAGCGGTTGGAGCGTCGGCCTGCGGTACAGAGAGACCCGGGTTCGGTTTCCGCTAAGGGCACGTACCTCGGTTGCAGTTTGTCCCCGGCCCTGGTTGGTTGTGCGGGTAGCAGCCACTCGATGTGTCCCTTCACATCGATGCTTCTCTCTCTCCCTCCTGCTCTATCTGAATAAAAAATGGAAAAATGTCCTCGGGTGAGGATAAAAATAAATAAATAAATAATTGCCTTCATAATTTGATAGGTAAGGACTATTATGCTAAATTTTTTATTTTGGCCCTAGCCGGTTTGGCTCAGCGGTTAGAGCGTCGGCCTGTGGTCCAGAGAGACCCGGGTTTGGTTCCCACTAAGGACTTGTACCTTAGTTGCAGTTTATCCCCGGCCCTGGCTTGGTTGTGTGGGCGGTGACCACTCGATGTGTCCCTTTCGCGTCGATGTTTCTCTCTCTCTTCCTCTCTCCCTCCTGCTCTATCTGAACAAAGAATGGAAAAATGTCCTCCGGTGAGGTTAAAAAAGAATTTTTTTTTATTTTGAAGCAGATCGTAAGACATTTCTAACTCAAGTTCCTTTTATTTCAAATAACAATTAAATAGCTGTTTCTATATCATACCTTGTATTTGGTCATGGTGCTAAAATGATTATTCCGAAAGAACACACAAAGTTCTCCTTCCTGAACCGTTGAAGTTAGTTCACATAATCCATGGTATGTCAGCTGCGTGGCTGTGTTATTTAGAAACTGCTCAGCTACAAAGCCTATGGAACCAACACATAAAAAATATTAGATGGAAGGATAATTTCAAAATTGAAAAAGTTTTTCTATATACATTGTATTCCAAGTATGAAGAAAAGCCAGTCAGAATAAGATTTTTCCTACTATAACATGATGATGCCAAATTGGAGATTCTACTTTTTTATGTTGGAAGATGTGCCTATAGACATTCCCATCCTAAAGAAACAGTTATATGAAATTCTTTTTATCAATTAATGTATTTACATATACTTTTTCTACTTCTAAAAATAATTTGAGGCAGCTTGCAACAAAACACACAGACACATTAAAACTAAAATCCACTAAAACAAGGCAAGAGTCAGTTAGCAATTTATATAGTGCATACGAACCCTGACAGGTTTGGCTCAGCAGTTGGAGCGTTGGCCTGTGGAACAAAGAGTCGCGGGTTCGATTCTGGTCAAAGGCACATACCTCGGTTTTGGTTTGTCTCTGGTCCTGGTCAGGGTCATGCGGGAGGCAACCAGAAGATTTGTCTGTCTCTCTTACATCAATGGTTTTCTCTCTTTCTCCCTCCCACTCTATCTGAGGATAAATGGAAAAATATCCTCGGGTGAGGATTAAAAAACAAACAAACAAACCAACCAAAAGTGCATAGGAGCCCTGGCTGGTTTGGCTCAGTAGTTAAAGCATTGGCTTGTGGACTGAAGAGTCTCAGGTTTGATTCCTGGTCAAGGGCACATACTTCCACTGCAGGTTTGATACTGGTCCCAGGTGGGGTCATACAGGAGGCAACCAATCACATCGATGTTTCTCTCTTTTTCTCCCTTCCTCCCACTCTATCTGAAAAAATCAATGCAAAAATATCCTCAGGGAAGGAGTAAAGAAAAATGCACCCTGGCCGGTTTGGCTGGCTGTTGGAACTTCTGCCTGCAGACCAGAGAGTCCTGGGTTTGGTTCCCACTAAGGGCATGTACCTCTGTTGCGGTTTTTCCCAGCCCTGGTTGGGGTTGTGTGGGTGGCAGCCACTCGATGTGTCTCTCTCCCTCTATGTTTCTCTCTCTCTCTCTCTCCCCCTTCCACTCTATCTGAAGATAAATGCAAAAAAAAAAAAAAAAAAGAAAGAAAAAAAATGCATAGGAGCCAAAGATGCATGTCAACAGCTACTTCCCCAACAATAGGTGTGTAGAAATTTTTTTTTTAATCCTCACCTGAGGACATTTTTTTGCATTTATCTTCAGATAGAGCAGGAGGTGGGGGGGGGGGGCAGAGAGAGAAACATTGTTGTGAGAGAGACACATCAGTGTGGTTGCCACCAACATGACCCCAACTGGGGAGGGAAAAAACTGCAACCGAGGTACATGCCCTTAGGGGGGACTAAATTCAGGACTCTCTGGTCCGCAGAAGGTCACTTTAACTGCTGAGACAAACTGGTTAGGGCAGGTGTGTAGAAATTAAAGGTGGTCTTATCAAAATGAGTTGCGTAAGATTTTAACAAAGGTCACAGATGAGTCTTAATTTACAAAAATGCTCAATTCTCACCTTAAAAGTAGGCGTAAAACTGAACAGAAAACAGGGGATAATTGATGCCATTTTATCCTAATCTCCTGCAACATATGCCACTCTTTACACACACACACAGAGTTCAGAAATGTAAATGATCTCTTTTGTTTTCAAACCATAATGAAATGGCTCTGGCCGGTTTGGCTCAGCGGTTAGAGCGTCAGCCTGTGGTCCAGAGAGATCGTTCGGTTCCCACTACGGGCGCATGCCTCAGTTGCAGTTTGTCCCCAGCCCTGATTGGTCATGCGGGTGGATGTGTCCCTTTCACATTGATGTTTCTCTTTCTCTCTCTCTCTCTCTCTCTCTCTCTCTCTCTCTCTCTCTCTCTCTCTCTCCCTCCCTCCCTCCCTCCCTCCCTCCCTCCCTCCCACTCTATCTGAACAAAAAATGGAAAAAAAATGTCCTTGGGTGAGGATTAAAAAAACAAAAAAACCCAATGAAATGTAAAGAAGTTTTCTAGGGTTTAATTTAAAAGGTATGTGTATATTTGATCCTTGCTGTTGGTCAAATTTGTCTACTACTAAAATTTATTTATAACTCCAAAATCAATACTTTCAGGGCCATTCCTGGATATGTGCAAAGCTGCAAAAAAATGGAGTCACCAAATGTGTACATTCCCCACTGAGGTCAAACAAGGCAACACTAGGCCTTGTTTCAGCTCTCATACTGTGAACAAGTGTCCTTTTCACAGTCTATCGAGTGCCACATTCTTCACATTTTTGTGCTTTTTGGGGGGTAATTTTTACATGTAAAATGGCCCCTAAGCATGACACTGGAGTATTTGCTAATGTTCTTAAGTGCACAAAAGCTGTGATGTGCAGAAAAAATACACATTTTTGTAGCTTTGTCCAGGCAAGTTACAGTGCTGTTTGCCACAAGTTTAATGTTACTGAGTCAATAATATATATTAAATAAGGTGTCTCTAAACAGAAATGCACATAAAACAAAGTTATGTATTTATCAGGTGATGAAAGTTTGTGACTAAAGGCTCACAGGAACCTAATCTTGCATTTCCCACAGGAGCACTGATTTAGTATTCACTAGTCAGTGTTCATAGCAACTTTATAGAACAATGATTTTCAACTGGTGTGCTGCAAGAATTTTTAAAACATGTAATACCTGACTATTTAGTTAGGGGCACTGACCTCTTCCCTTGGATTGTCAAATAAAAAAATGACAACAGCCAACACAACAATAGCTGTCCTGTGTGAATGAATCAAAATTATATACTTATTATTTTTGGTCAAACTGGCAAAAAAATATATTTTTGACATGCCTCAGAATTTTAGTAATTAGTTTATGTGTGTCATGAGATAGAAAAAAGGCTGAAATTTGCCCAGTCAGTGTGGTTCAGTGGTTGAGCATTGACCCATGCACTGAGAGGTCGCTGGTTCGATTCCAGATCAGGGCACATGCCCAGGTTGTCAGCCAGATCCCCAATGGGGAACATGTGGGAGGTAGCCAGTGGATGTTCTCTTTCATCCATCCATCTATCTATCTATCTATCTATCTATCTATCTATCTATCTATCTATCTATCTATTTTAATCCTCGCCCGAGGATATTTTTCCATTTTTTGTTCAGATAGAGGGGAGGGAGAAAGAGGAATAGGGAGAGGGAGAGAGAGAAACATCGATGTGAGAGGGACACATTGAGTGGTTGCCTCCTGCACAACCTTGACCAAGGCCTGGGATGAATCACAACTTAGGTACATGCCCTTGACTAAAACTGAACCCATGACTCATTGGACCACGGGCCAACACTCTAACCACTGAGCCAAACTGGCCAGAGCTCATTGTTTTTTCTGACTCTCTCTCTCTCTCTTTCTCCTTAACCCTCTCTCTCAAATAAAGAAAAAAAAATTTTTTTTAAAGGCTGAAATTTGCTGTGATAGAACATAACTACTGGGAATAATGAAAATGGACTATATATTTTAAAAGTCAGGCCCTGGCCGGTTTGGCTCAGCGGTTAGAGCGTTGGCCTGTGGTCCAGAGAGACCCAGGTTCGGTTCCCGCTAAGGGCACGTACCTCGGTTGCAGTTTGTCCCTGGCCCTGGTTGGGTCGTGTGGGTGGCAACCACTCGATGTGTCCCTTTCACGTCGATGTTTCTCTCTCTCTCTCTCTCTCTCTCTCTCTCTCTCTCTCTCTCTCTCTCTCTTCCTCTCTCTCCCTCCCACTCGACCTGAACAAAAAATGAAAAAGTGTCCTCGGGTGAAGATAAAAAAAATAAAATAAAAGCCAGTATTTCTCTTCTTTTTCTTCCTCCTTTTAATGAAGAAGAAAAGTCTCAGAAAAAAAGAGGGGGAAACAGAATGCTCTAAAGAGTTTTATAAGAGAGCAGAGAGGTGCAAATATAGGGAGTAAAGGTGAACCTGTGTTAAGAAACTGACACCTCTTCTCTCACATCAATGTTTCTCTCTCTCTCTCTTCCCCTCTCTCTCCCCCACTCTATCTGAACAAAAAATGGAATAATGTCCTTGGGTGAGGATAAAAAAGAAAAAAAGAAACTGACACCTCAACAAGAAATTTATAATAAACTTGGAAAGGCCAGAGGCAGCTGGAGAGTACAGGTTCATTCCACTCACTCTCCATCCCTCAGCCTTACTGTCAAGACACACCAATTCAAGCTGCAAAGTGGTTGTAAAAAGTTACCAATATATCACACTATTTCAAAGAATGGGTTAAGGTAGGAGGGAAAGTGCCAAGATGTTATACACAAGGCCGCAGCCAAAGGAAATGTATAACACATCTGCAACTTCTGGGGTTTATACATTTAGAAATAGAGTTGCCCCCCTCGATTACTATTATTACTTTGCTCAGTACTAAGTCACTAAGTGGAATGTGTGCATTATACACTAAAGTACTTAATATATATAGTATTTTAAAGTAAGTATAATGTCTGTGCTGAGCAGTCCCACTGCTGTGCTACTAAACACTCCCTCAGAAAGATGTTTCTAAATGCCCCCCCACATCTCACTCATAATGTCCTCTCTACAGATCCACTCAAGAAGACACAAAAATTCAGTGGAAATACAGCCCAACATTACTTTCATGTGTGTGAAATTCAAAAATTCAACACTAGAAAAGGTCTTTCTCAGCTTCTTTTTTTTTTTTTTTTTTTTTTTTATCCTCACCCGAGGATATTTTTCCATTTTTTGTACAGATAGAGTGGGAGAGAGAGAGAGGAAGGGGGAGAGAGAGAGAAACATCGACGTGAAGGGACACATCGAGTGGCTGCCATCCGCACGACCAATCAGGGCCGGGGACAAACTGCAACCGAGGTACGTGCCCTTAGTGGCAACCGAACCCGGGTCTCTCCGGACCGCAGGCCGACGCTCTAACCGCGAGCCAAACTGGCCAGGGCTCAGCTTCTTTCTATAGAACAGGACAGAGGTTCAGAAAGAATAAATCACTTTCTCAAGGACAAAATTATGAAAAAGTAAAGACTGGAACCCAGAAAAATT